TGTAGGATACCAATCCCGGGTCGAGGCTTGACCCGGTTGCTAGAGTCACATTTAACCTCCATACGCCGGTCACACTTAACCCAACCCCTTCATGGCTTACAAACCCAGGCAATGGGTTATCCCACACACAGACGTATTTGCCCCTCTCTTTGTCCACCCACTCACAGCCAGCGACGAATCCCTCTCTGTGTGTGTGTGTTCTGTCGCCACCCGTGACTTCAAATTGCACCACCATGGCCACCATCAGACCCATCACCGCAACATACAACCCATCATCAAATCGTGATGGCTACAACCAGAGACATCACCTGCACAATCAGTGGCCTATCCACGGCGATGATGATAAATATGTAGCAAGAAGAGAGAGAGAGAGAAACTGAAGTGGGTTTGTTGTTTTCTTCTCTATGCAACTCTCTGTTTTGATCTAGGGGTGCGATTTGGGTATCTCTCTCTCTCCCTCTCTTTCTCGATCTCTGCATTTGGTTGTATATCTAGGGCATTTGTATTACTTTTTTGGATTTAGATTGGTTTTGGGTGGAAATTTGCAGTGTTCGAAATTTTAGAGGAGATAAATTCCGGTGGTGGGAATGGCGGGGATGGTGAGGTAAGAGAGGAACGGCGGTGCCGGTGCTGGTGAAGAAAGGGGGAAGGGATATTACTCTTTTGTTTTGAATTAAATTAGGGAGAATTATTGCCGGACCATCAAGTTTGTCGCTTAATATATTTGAAATATTATACATATAGATCTTTTGAAGTTTATACGTAACACTTAGGCCCTCTAAATATATCTATTAATAAATTATGTTAATAAATTATATCTAGACCTTCCGACATTTGTTTTTTGATTGTCTTTTGCTTTTCTAACAAATAAAAATTATTATTTTATTTTTATATATTTGTATGTATATGTGAAAAATGTATAATTTTATTAGNAGTTGTACTAATAAAAAAATCTATTTGGGGGCGTTTGGACAGTGGGTTAAAGGTGATTATCCATCAATAGGATAGAATAAAATAAGAGTGAGACTCGTAAAATCTTTGTTGGAGAAGTCATTTTTGATGTAGGATACCAATCCCGGGTCGAGGCTTGACCCGGTTGCTAGAGTCACATTTAACCTCCATACGCCGGTCACACTTAACCCAACCCCTTCATGGCTTACAAACCCAGGCAATGGGTTATCCGACACACAGACGTATTTGCCCCTCTCTTTGTCCACCCACTCACAGCCAGCGACGAATCCCTCTCTCTGTGTGTGTGTTCTGTCGCCACCCGTGACTTGAAATTGCACCACCATGGCCACCATCAGACCCATCACCGCAACATACAACCCATCATCAAATCGTGATGGCTACAACCAGAGACATCACCTGCACAATCAGTGGCCTATCCACGGCGATGATGATAAATATGTAGCAAGAAGAGAGAGAGAGAGAAACTGAAGTGGGTTTGTTGTTTTCTTCTCTATGCAACTCTCTGTTTTGATCTAGGGGTGCGATTTGGGTATCTCTCTCTCTCCCTCTCTTTCTCGATCTCTGCATTTGGTTGTATATCTAGGGCATTTGTGTTACTTTTTTGGATTTAGATTGGTTTTGGGTGGAAATTTGCAGTGTTCGAAATTTTAGAGGAGATAAATTCCGGTGGTGGGAATGGCGGGGATGGTGAGGTAAGAGAGGAACGGCGGTGCCGGTGCTGGTGAAGAAAGGGGGAAGGGATATTACTCTTTTGTTTTGAATTAAATTAGGGAGAATTATTGCCGGACCATCAAGTTTGTCGCTTAATATATTTGAAATATTATACATATAGATCTTTTGAAGTTTATACGTAACACTTAGGCCCTCTAAATATATCTATTAATAAATTATGTTAATAAATTATATCTAGACCTTCCGACATTTGTTTTTTGATTGTCTTTTGCTTTTCTAACAAATAAAAATTATTATTTTATTTTTATATATTTGTATGTATATGTGAAAAATGTATAATTTTATTAGGATAATTCATCAATCCAAACATAGGATAAGATTGATTTGGATTGGAATGAATAGAGTCATGGGTAGAATGGTAAACTACTACAAAATTATTTGTGTAACCTATGAATCCCACTGAATTATACATTTGTTTTCCAAACAAGAATTGAGATTGAATATATTCCAAGATTAAGATTTTAAAGTGGGTGAGTGAGTTTGGTTTGGATGAATTTAGATATAAAAAAAAAAATCCTATCCTATCCGACCTCATTATCCAACCACACCTTTTTTATATATTATGGGTGTCACTAAATTCATGGACAGTGAGAGATGATTGGCGAAAATTAAAAGAGTATATTGAGGGAGATCGAAATACATTTACAAGATATCAGTGCAAAAAGAGCATAACTTCCCTTAGAATTGTGAAGGAAATTTTTGTATACATGTATGAACTACTTTCCAGAACTGAGCTGATCATTGATAAAATGATTAACATCATGTGTTCATCCACTTGTACAGTGGCAATAAGGTCCATTTGGAACCTTAGGAATTGAGCTGCTTCTGTAATAGATATCCAAAATTCTATTCCTTTATCATCTGCCAATGGGAATCAGTCTTCCTCATCCACTTCATGAAAAGGAAGTGGCACTGTCTTCACAGCTCTAAACTTGCCAGCATTATTTAGATGCTCATTCTCCAACCTGCGCCATTGAAAAGATTGTCCATTAGAGCAACACTTGATGAGAGATGTGAGTTATAATGTTCGAACTCGTATTGTACAGTATTGTCTGCATGTCGGTATGGGCTGTTACATACCTGTAAAAATTCCATTGGCCTCTTCTAATGACTTCAAGGGCTGCTAAAAGTAGCCCTGTTACTCTGGAATCGACGCCTCTTAAACTGGGGTGGATAACAATTTGCAACCAAACAAGCCTAAGAATAAGGTTCAACCCCTGCAAATGGTACCATATTTTTGTCCAAGATCAGGATGTAAAGGGGAAAAAAAACTTCAAATTAGTTGCAAAATTCATTTGGCGATCCAATGCACCAGATTAAATATGACTAAACAG